AAGGGCCGGGGGAGGCCTTGGAACCTCTCCCTTTTACCCAAAACTGACTTGCGGAGAGCCCTGCGACGGAGCTAATGATTCTAGTCTAGTTTAATTAAGTTTTTAATTCAAAGTTTTAAGGTACTGAGACCCTGAAAGAAGACACACACATATATATATATATATATATATATATCCTTTTTAAGCATCTTGATTATTACCGGGGGAGCACCAGAGCCTCTGCAGTAATCACTTTGCAGCAATTGAAGATGTAAACTCACCCCTGCTTCTCCACAACGTTGTCTTTCTTCTCTTTTACAACTACCTCTTATCTGTTTATCTCAGTCAACGCAATCTAGCGTGTTTATTACAACAATAAAGAAATAATTTACAACTTTAAAGAAACAATGGTGACGACCAGGAGTGGCTGCAAAACCTCAGGCTTTTCTCTGAAAGCTGTAAGACCCACCTTTAAAAGAGCCACTCTAAAGAAAGCACAAACAAAAATCACTCGCTTCTACATGAATAGAGCAAAATGTGGAACAAATGAGGAAACGACTGAAATGAATGAGAACAAGAACAAGAAGGGAAGGGAAATTCTACTCTCTCCTACCAATCTCTCTTACAGCTATAGTGAAGGACCGGCTATGCAAAGAAAGGAGTGTACTAAAAGCAGTGATAACAGCCTGAATATATTGGAAGCAACACAAAATATCCTCGATACAGCCGATGAAGCATCCCCGAAACTGAAAGCCAAATCCCAAGTTCCTCTCGAGCCATCGTTAGATCAAAAAATGGAGGAACTAATGTTAAAACAAATTTCGGAATTGGCCTCGGGAAATATTAAACCTTCGAAAGACTCTTATTCTCATTCCCACGAGACAAATGAAGAGGGTCTCTCAATCATCAAATGGCTAGTGCTCCTTACTGAGGACATTGAATCCATAAAGTCCTACTTGGACATCTGCACAAAAACTCTTACCATCATGGCTGACTCCTGTAAAACTCTCTGGAGAAAACCTGGAATGCCTGCAGAATTGGAAAGTAATCATGGCCTCGCCTCCACCCTTTGTAGGAGTGGCTCATCAAGGAAGGGTAAGAAAGCCTGTAGAGCTAATGCTTGTAAAAGGAGATTCATAGTTGTAAAAAATGTTAAAAAAAGTAAAAACATAAAAAATTTTAAGACAGTGTATTATAAAAAAAATGGTTTTTAAAAAGCTTTTTAACCTACTCGAGAGCACAACAGCCTCTGGCACTAGAGGGAACCCGGTGAAGTCTTTAGCCAAGAAGTCAGTTAAACAGGATTCGCCCCCAAACGTCTGTGCTGATAAAGCTCCGGATTGTCTAAAACCTTCAGCGCTTGCTCCACCACCAAGCTCTAAGCAAGATTTATTGCCCCAAGATCCATGGTCCTACGTTTTAACCATAGATAACTCCAAATCCAATAAGGAGAGCATTCCAACAAATAAGAACTGGAAGCTGGTGTTGCTTCAAAACAAACTTGTTTTTTCAAGCTATCCTAAGCCTCCAGGATTTTTATCTCAAGAGGATCGCAAAGTCCATCTACTGAACTTCCTTAAGGCATACATGCCAGGTACTTTGAGTAATCCCTCGGAGTTGGACCAAGTGGAATATCTATATTTTGATGGCTTGCTTGCCAGGGCGGTGGCTACATTCCATGATCGGAGACTGGCAAAACTGATATATAAACACAGAGAGCACCTAAAGACAAGTGGTGTAAAAATATCAAGGTTCTTTAAAAATGAGGCCTCTCCTATCCCACTAGTCCCCAGTTCTGCAACTTCGACTGCAGCACCTCATCAAAAGGCTGAATACCACACTTTAATTGATATAAAAGCCACTGAGGACTCACCTAATCACCACCCAGAGTTACTTACTAATGATTCTCAAAGACCAGACTCTCCCGGGACTTTATATGAGACGAGTCAAGGTAACGGGTTCGAAAGTTTTGAAAATAACTTAATTTACTCCTATTCTGCTCTCCCTCAAGAAACTCAGAACAAAATACTCTATAGACTGAATAACCTTCGCTCTTGTCTGACAAATCTGACGAAGGACCAACCGGGACCACACAACCAAAATATATCTGATTATGTCCCAGATCAGGCTTCATGCTTCTATCGTCACGAGCTGGATTTATGGGTCGGGAAACCCTCCGTTACCCCAGGCCAATTGGTTACTGCGGAGATGAATCCATCCTCTCAGATCTTGGAGCCGAAACGCCCCTCCTATAATCCAGCTCGCATGCAATCCATCCCAGAGGCAAACCTGGTCACTACATTAGCATGGGATAAAATGAGAGAATTAGATGAGACTGAATTGGGCTCCCCAAATAAAGTGCCCAGCATGGGTGCGCCAGGATGCAACCCTAGCATTCCACCCTCCTCAAATGTGAGCATATTGAATACATCTTTAAACATCATTGAATTAGCATCTGAACTATCTGAACCCGCTGAAAGGGCTAATAGTAAGAACCAGAGAATCTTGGTGTGACATACGGAATGCACCACGCATACCTCACTAGCACCCTTAAATCAAAGATCTCTCCAAACTCTTTCTATTATGTCCTGGAATGTAGCTGGACTCTCATGTAAATTAGCTGATCCTGATTTTATAAATTTTCTTGAATCTTATGATATAATACTTTTGCAGGAAACCTGGTCTCTTAAACCTTTAAATATTCCTAATTTTATTACTTACAATTTACCCGCTACTAAAATGTCAACAAAAGGTCGCCCTAAAGCCGGTTTGATCTGTGGTATTAAACAGTCTTCTAACCTTAAAATTAATTATATCAGAAATATTGGACAGTATGCACAATTGTTATCATTTACCATTGTTTACAGGGAAATTCTTCTTTTAAATATATATTTTCCTCCCATAGAGTTGGAAACTAGACCAGATTATGGTTGGAATATAGTCTCTGAAGAGCTGTATTTAATACGTAGTAAATCTCCAAATATTCCCCTGATTGTAATGGGAGACACCAATGCTCGAATTGGATCAGATAATATAGCTCTCTATAAACGCTATGTCTCAAATCTAGCTGAAGATGCCCCACTTCCATTGAGAATAGGGAGGAATTCAAAGGACATCATTATTAATAAAGCGGGAGGAAAACTTTTACAATTGGTTTTAGAATTTAACCTCTCATTTTTGAATGGCTCAATGTGGCCGGATATTCCAGGAAATTTTACCTTCAGCTCCAAAAGGGGTAGGAGCGTAATTGACTATTCTCTAGTTTCCGTTGAAATGTTAAATGAAGTTGCCTCTTTTACAGTTGTACCTCGCTCAGAGAGTGACCATTTCCCAATAGTTTTAGAGATGTACAGGAATCCTAGAAATAATGATATTAGTCCTCCTATTAGTATTGATAAGACTATTTATGCCAAAAGAATTTATATAAGTGATAAAAATAGGGAGGATTTATTGGCTGTATTTGAAAATAACCCAGTTATTCTCGAACCTGTGGCTAACCAAAATTTGATGCCCCTGGAGGACAACGATTGTTATTATAAGACTATCCAGGAATTATTTTCTTCTTTTTTAGACCTTCAGTTCAGCAACAAACCTTTAAATAAGTATAACTGGTTTGATAAAGATTGTATTAACTATAAGAAAGAACTTAGAATTTGTCTAAAAGAAGCCTATACTACCGACTCTCAAGGTCTCTGGAAGACTTATTTTGAAATGAAAAATGCTTTTAAGAACATGCTCCTGGAAAAAAAATCTGAGTTTGCACTAGCCAAATGGTCTAAAATTGTTACTGCATTAGAAATCAAAGATACCAAAACCTTTTGGTCACTTCTCTCAATAAAAGATATCACTGATTTCCCTAATATAAGCGATGAGGCTTGGATTTCACATTTTACTGATGTTTTTTATGATCACCAAGTTTGTAAAAGGAAAATTTAAAATTTTCTTTGGCAAAAACCACACAATTTCAAATTACTGTTGAGGAGATGAAAAGGATAATTTTTTTGTTTAAGCAAGGGAAATCACCTGGTATGGATGGCATTCCAATAGACCTGTTGAGATTAGATGTAGAATGGTGGGCCATTAAACTTGTGCCGCTTTTTAATTCTATCTATCACTCAGCCCTTGTACCTAAGTCGTGGAACAACTCAATAGTGGTACCGATCTTTAAAAAAGGTGATAGGAATTGTCAAGAGAATTACAGGCCTATAAGTCTGTTACCATGCATAAGTAAAATCTATGCCAAATCTCTGCTTATTAAATTAGAAGAATGGATGCTGACAAAAGGTCTTCCTGGTAAAGAACAGGCTGGTTTTAAGGCAGGCGCGTCAACTCTTGACCAGTGTCTAGTGTTAAGTCATCTTGTGGATAAATATGTCATGAGAAATAAACGAAAACTCTTTGTGGCATTTGTGGATTAAAAAGTGCCTTCGACTCGGTCGACCGTAACAAACTATGGACTAAACTAGGACACCTTGGTATCGACCCATATCTACTTACACTGATTCAAAGTTTACATTCTAATAACCAAATATATGTTAAAGTATCAAAAGATGGTAGACTTGCAGGTCCTATTCTGAATAATCGAGGAGTTAGGCAAGGCTGTATCTTGGCCCCTACCTTATTTAATTTATTTTTATCTGACCTACCATTATTTCTTCAAAACACAACCACTCATACTCCTTATTTAAACAATAGACCACTTTTTTTATTACTTTATGCAGATGATGCTGTAATTATTTCACTCTCTGTTTTGGGTTTAAAAAAATTATTTAAGAGTTTCTCAAACTACTGCTCTCTCAATAATCTCAAAATTAATTACGATAAGACAAAGATTATGCAATTTGGAAAGAGAGGGAACCCAAAAGGCTGTATAATCAATGGACATTCAATACAGGAAGTTCAGCACTTCAATTATCTGGGAATCACATTTAAAAATAATATGAATTGGAATACACATATATGTGCTGCAATAGTTAAGGCCAAAGTGACAGCCCACCATATTAAATCCTACTTTTTTTCTCCAGTAGGAAACAGATTTATTCCAGCTGTATTGCAAGTGATTGACATGAAACTTTGTGCCCAACTTCTATACGGCACACCAGTGTGGATTTCAGGTGACCTCAAGAGGTTGGATAAATTCCATGCATCCCTTCTGAGGTCATTATTAGGACTTGCAAACTCTGTAAAATATGAAACAATATGTTGTGAGCTGGGAATATTGCCTTTATCAGTAAGAGCATGGTTGAGGACCTTGAAATATTGGATCTTCCTCCATTATAGAGCCCTATCCCCTAATTCTCTACTTTACGATCTTTTAAGTGATAGTGCAATCTACAATCTATCATTGATTTGTAGGAGAAAACTGGATTCGATAGGGCTCACTCTAATTGATTTTGAAACCTCTGATCCCAAAGACATATGGGAAATTATCAGGAAGACTCTTACAGAAAAAAGTGTTCTCGCCATGCTTGAGGCTGCAAAGCACAGCACTTGCTCTCCTATCCACTTAAATCTCCCTTTGTGTAGAGATTTCCAAAAGGGATACATGACAAATCTGAAGAAACATGAATCGTGTAGGCTGTTTATGTTGGCCAGATTCAACATGTTTCCTCGGTGGTAGTGAGAGGAAGATACTTAGCTATCCCAGAATCAGAGCGTCTCTGCAAATGCAGAAAACAGGAACCTGATACTCTAGAGCATATATTCTTTTCCTGTGATTTTGGTAGTTATGCCAGAAAACAATTATTTGAGGCCCTAAAAGTTAATAGACAGATTTTTACTCAACCAACTGTTCAGGACCTGCTGGCGGACAGCGATGATCAAACCACTATAATAGTGGCTGAATTTTTAAGTGCTGTCCATGAAGAAAGAATGGGCCATGATAAAGAGACTTAGTGGTTTTTAATGGTAGGTGATGTTGCTGTGTTGTTGTATTATATTATCTATGTACATCGATTTATTTCTTGGAGTTAAGAATAGGACTGGGATAAATTGTGTTCGCTGAGCCCGTATTTTATACAGTCTGTATATGATGTTTGTTTGTTACTGTGTGGTGTGCTATGCCTAATAAAGGATTTAAAAGTAAAAGTAAAGTAATGGGGGCAGGACCATGAAATTTGGAAGCCCTTAGTCATGAATTGGCACATGGGCGGTGGATACAGATTCAGTCATTCTGACTCAAGGAATGAGGCAGTTGAGTAGCTCAGCAGCTGTATCCATGACTGAGCAGTCCTATTTAGGATCCACTCTGCTCACCCCAAAAAGGGGGAAGATTTATAAATGTGCCCTAAACATAGTCTGTCTCCCTTTTTCCCTGACTGGGTTACCATGCTCAGTGAGGGCAACACCCAGAGGTTGTAAAAGACAATTGAACTTTGAAACCTGGAATATACGGACTTTGCTGGATATTTTTTTTTTAAATGATATTTATTAAAAGTTTTAAAATTACAGAAAAAAGAAAAAAGACAACAATAAAAAAGAAAAGAAAAAAACATAGAAAAACAATACAACAATACAACAAGAGGAAACAAAAAGAGAACTAAAACACACATCCAATATTCCATATCTTTACCTTTCCTTTACTTGTTTCCTCGACCTCCTCACACCTCCCTTTTTTTGTATTCTAGTTCAATTCACTATTTCAGCAAATTCTTCCCATCGTATTCCCCCCCCCCTATAATTTATCTTAACAGTCTATCCTTAAATTTTTTCATTTTAACCTGTTATCAATCAGCTTTTACTTAATTCTTTGTTGCATTTCTACTAAAACCATATAGCTTCATTCCAGCATCCTTCTAACACTCATTAATTTTACAATGTTTCTGTAAGTATACTTTGAATTTTTTCCAATCTTCTTCCACCGACTCTTCTCCCTGGTCTCGGATTCTGCCAGTCATTTCCACCAGTTCCATGTAGTCCATCAACTTCATCTGCCATTCTTCCCTGGTGGGTAGATCTTGTGTCTTCCAATGCTTTGCAATAAGTATTCTTGCTGCTGTTGTAGCATACAAAAAGAAAGTTCTATCCTTCTTTGGCAACAATTGGCCGACCATGCCCAGGAGAAAGGCCTCTGGTTTCTTCAGGAAGGTACATTTAAATACCTTTTTCATTTCATTATAGATCATCTCCCAGAATGCCTTAATCTTTGGGCATGTCCACCAAAGGTGAAAGAATGTACCTTCAGTTTCATTACATTTCCAACATTTGTTATCGGGCAAATGGTAGATTTTTGCAAGCTTGACTGGTGTTATGTACCACCTATAAATCATTTTCATTAAGTTCTCTTTTAAGGCATTACATGCCGTAAACTTCATGCCAGTGGTCCATAACTGTTCCCAGTCGGCCATCATAATATTATGTCCAACATCTTGTGCCCATTTAATCATAACAGATTTCACCATTTCATCTTGAGTATTCCATTTCAACAGCAAGTTATACATTCTTGACAAATTCTTAACTTTAGGGTCTAACAATTCTGTTTCCAACTTTGATTTTTCCACTTGAAAACCTAATTTTTTGTCCTGATTGTATGCCTCCATTATTTGGTAATAATGGAGCCAATCTCGTATTCTGTTTTTTAATTTTTCGAAGCTCTGCAGTTTTAATCTGTCACCCTCTTGTTCCAAAATTTCCCAATACTTCGGCCATTTGGCCTCCATATTGAGTTTTTTCTGAGCCTTTGCTTCCATTGGTGACAACCATCTTGGGGTTTTATTTTCTAACAAATCTTTATATCTTATCCAGACATTAAACAGTGCTTTTCTTACAATATGGTTTTTGAACGCTTTGTGTGTGTAATGGGTTTGGGGTTGCTCGTGCGTAAGTTGCCGCCACTCCTGGCTAGGTTACCTGGTTAACCCTTTCTGACTGAACAGCCTCCAGCATCGTGACTGTCTCAGTTGCTGGCAGAATCCGTCAGTGGACGTTTCTTAAACCTTTTCCAGCATAAAAGTTGTTTGACGCCAAGTCTCCTCCTACTCTCCCTGCGCGGAAGTCTTCTGCGCAGGGAGGGTGTGGGCAGCGGAGTACCCGTACTCTCTCCGCTGGTCTCCAGCGAAGAGTCTTGGAGCCTCCTCCTTCTCCACCTGCCCCCCTTCTCCACTGGTGTTACGCTGATTTCCTTCCCCAGCAGATGGGCTGCCTCTCTCCCTACTGGGACCCTCTCCTGCATCCCTTTGGAGCCTTCCCTCCGCCTCTAGCTCCAATGGCAGTTCCCTGACAGTGTGCTTTAACCTTATCATACCACAAATATGCATGCCAACCAAATACATTATTGAAACCTTCCAAATCCAAAACATCCGTGTTTTCAAGAAGCATCCATTCTCTGAGCCAACAAAAAGTGGCTGATTCATAATAAAGTTTTAAGTCTGGCAGGGCAAATCCACCTCTTTCTTTAGCATCAGTTAATATCTTAAATTTTGTACGAGGCTTCTTGCCCTGCCAGACAAATATGGAGATATCTCTCTGCCACTTCTTGAAACAGTCCATTTTGTCCAAAATTTGCAGTGTTTGAAACAAAAACAGCATTCTTGGCAATACATTCATCTTTATAACAGCAATTCGGCCTAGCAAGGAAAGCTTCAAGTTTGACCATATCTCTAAATCCTTTTTCACTTCTGACCAACATTTCTCATAATTGTCTTTAAATAGGTTTAAATTCTTAGCAGTCATGTTAACCCCCAATTATTTTACTTTCTTAACCAATGTTAAGCCTGTCTCCTTCTGAAACCTCTCTTTCTCAATCGGTGTTAAATTTTTCTCAAGCACCTTGGTTTTTAACTTGTTCAACTTAAATCCTGCCACATGACCAAATTCCTGAATCAATTCTAAAACTCTTTTAGTACTAGATTCTGGCTCCTGTAACGTCAATACTAAATCATCTGCAAAAGCTTTCAGTTTGTACTGTTTAGCTCCGACCTGTATACCTTTAATCAAACGGTCCCTTCTGATCATATTTAGCAAAACCTCCAGAACCGAAATGAAAAGCAATGGGGAAATTGGGCAGCCTTGTCGTGTCCCTTTCTCTATCTTAAATTCCTCTGTTACCACATTATTAACTATTAGCTTAGCTTTTTGTTCTGAATGTATTGCACTTATACCATTTTCAAACCCTTGACCAACCCCCATCCCCTGAAGGTTTTTCTTCATGAAACTCCAAGAAATATTATCAAAGGCTTTCTCCGCATCAACAAAAATTAAAACTGCTTTGGTATTGATATTCACTTGCAACATCTCCAAAATGTCAATTATATTCCTAGTGTTGTCAGACAAGTGTCTACCTGGGAGAAAGCCGGCTTGGTCTTTATGGATCTCTTCTACTAATACCTTCTTTAACCTTTTAGCCAAAATATCTGCAAAAATTTTATAATCCACATTGAGCAGGGATATGGGGCGGTAGTTCTTAAGTTGCGTCTTTTCAGTCTCATTTTTCGGTATTAGTTTAATATAAGCTTCTTTCCATGACTCTGGCGCTTTTTTCCCCTCCAAGATTTCATTACAAACCTCCTTTAGTGGTTGAATTGTCCAGTCCTTCAAAGATCTATAGTATTTGGAGGTTAAACCATCTGGCCCTGGAGATTTGCCCAACTGCATGTTCTGGATGGCACCTTCCACCTCCTGTTCTGTTATTTTATAGTTAAACATTAACTTATTTTCTTGGGATATTTTTTGAAGTCCATTTGTTTTTAAAAATTTGTCTAAATCGCACTCTTTCTGTGGCCCTTGTGTGTATAACTGTTTAAAGTACCTCTGGAAGCATTTTCTAATTTCCCCTGGATTCTGGATGTTCTTTCCTTCCACTTCCAAGTTGGTAATGGTGTTAAGTTTTTGTCTTTTTTTCATTTGCCAAGCTAGCAGTTTTCCACATTTATTAGCCGATTCAAATGTCCTTTGTTTCATCTGTTTAATTTTCCATTCTATTTCCTGAGTCATCATCTTCATATATTGAACTTGGTATAACTTTATTTCTCTCAGAATCTCTTGTGATTTTGGTTTCGCTCTCAGTTTCTTCTCCCCCTCTTTTATTTTTTCCAAAATTTTGTCTTTTTTCTCATTTTGAGTTCTCTTCTTTATTGCATTCTGTTGAATTAGAAACCCTCTCATAACTGCTTTGCTTGCGTCCCAGATTACTCTTTTTTCGATGGTAGTGTTCAAATTTATCTCAAAGTAGTCTCTCAAGGTTTTTTGGGCCTTCTTGGTAACTTCTTGATCTCTAAACAGGATGTCATTCATCCTCCATCTGAAGGAGCCGATAGGTGTTAATTTCATCTCCATTTTCACGGCATTATGGTCGGAGCAGATTTTAGGGCAAATTTCCACTTTTCGAGTTTTAGGTGCCAGTCCTCTAGTAATCCAGATTTGGTCAATTCTTGTCCATGTCATTTTGGCTTCAGAGAAGAAGGTTCCCTCCCTAGCCAGGGGGTTCTTTATTCTCCAAATATCAATCAAGTCCATATTGTCAGTCATCTCAAAAAAGGTTTTTGGTAGTCTGCCATCTTTGGTAACTACCTGTCTCTGCGACTTGTCCATGTTTGTGGATACCACTCCATTCATGTCTCCCATCATGATAATGTTGTAATCCATATAGTCCAGCAATGTCTCATGCAACTTCTTGAAAAATTCAGATTTCCCCTCATTTGGAGCATATACTCCTACTATCAGAAATTTTTCTCCTTGTGTTTGAATTTCAATTGCCACATATCTTCCTTGATCATCTTTAAAAATAAATTTTGGTGATAGGCTCTCTTTCGCGTAAATTACAACTCCTCTCTTTTTAACTTTGTCCGATGAAATAAACTCCTGACCCAATCTTTTATTAATCAATACTTTCCTATGGAGCCTTATCACATGTGTTTCCTGCAAACAAATCAAGTCCAATTGTTCCTTTTTCAATAAATGAAAAACTTTTTTCCTTTTCTCCGGGTAAGTCCATGAATATTCCAGCTTAATAGTTGCAGGGACATGGTGTATTTATTTTACTTTTCCTCCAACTGCACCAAGTAATTGTTCTTGTTCTGTTGGTGGTATCACCTTCTCTAACTTGTCCAGTCCCAAAGGTAGTGATACTATGTCCTGTGTTCCT